TCATTCTGCGCTACTTGCTGGACGTGAATTTGGTTTATGTGGCGTCTTAGAGTTAGATAAAGCTTGACACTCAGTAAAGTTGCAGTTATAATACAAGCCGCGAGATATAATAATGACGAAACTCACGTACATGATATTTTTTGGGAGGAATAACCTGATCAGTGAAATAAGTGCGCTTATCACCCAAATTGAGACCACTACAGCAGCAACGCGTTTGTATGTCACAAGTTCCTGGTATTTGAGGTGGAGGTAAATTGCCAAAAATCTGTCTGCACAGAGAGCCGTGACGCTAAACAATGACGCATAGGTGCAGAAATTTACCGGAATAAGAGATGCGTAAAATGACATTACTATTGTCATTGGTTGCATTATTTTGTTGAGAGTCTATGATATATGCAACATACATTGGCTGAGCTAGTAAACCAACACGGAGATCAGAAACAGCCAGACTCAGAAGCAATGTTTTTAAATTTTTGGACAAGGACGAAGTCTTTCTTATCGCGTAGATTGCTACAATGTTCAGCATGGTGGCGCTGTTAGACAAGTACGCGTTTAATATGCAAAGCCTGGGATATGACCAATCCATTGGATGACCTTTTCAGGTAGTTGCGGCGATTGAAGCAAGCAAATTCTTGTCGGACCTTGCAAGCGATTGTTTTTGTTTTTTTTTCCGGGATGATCCGACCAAACCCACGTCACGGATTGACTAACGTTCAGAGAGTTCCAAAACGTTTAGTAAGTTAGACTTTGATGAAAAGCAGTTTGACCACAGGGTTCAGAGGAGATGTGTTTGTCGTTAGAATATCAAAACCCGTCGAAAACCTCTGAAAAAATGGGTTATTTTGATCGTGTTACAGTTTCGTTACACATTCTATTGACCGCAAACCAAGAGACTGAGGGCTCGCAAGATCGGCTTACAGTATAGTCCTTTTTTTTACTCGGCACTTCGTGTCTCGATCGCCCGTCGGGCGACGGCCTACGGTCACCCTTCGCGCGACGTGCCGTGCGCCAGCGAGGATATTGCTTGCGGTTATTGATTTTCAAAGTGGCGAACAACAAAGTCGATCTGGGTCAGATAAGAGGAGAAGAAATCGTTTAACGTAAATTCATAAAGATCCCATTGGGCTAATTAATCGTGCTAAGCGACAGATATAGACATTTTTGAAGTTGGGACTTTAAGTAAGTAATTCATTTATTCACACGAAACTCCTCTGGACCCTGTGGTTTGACTGACTGACAGGCGTCTTTAACTGAGCTACGATGAAACTCTTTTGTGAACATGCGATTACTGATGGCCGGGCATTGCTGGTGTGGCAAAGCAGATGTCCTATATGTGTTTTTAAGACGTTTTAGATAATTGTCGCACGTATTTTTCTAAACTGCTCAGCAATTAGAAAAAGGGAGTTTTTATTCCAAAATAAAACTTAAACTTAATCACCGGCAAAAAGGAATTGCTCACGTCAATCAGAATTTTCGGTGGGGCCGGTTTGTCGCATCCTGTGAAGCGAAATCCCTCCGTGTTCAGAAAACGCCTTCAAGGCTTTCCTCCCGCTCTGTTTTTTTTTTTTTTTTTTTGGAACCAAATAGATCAAATAGTTTAAAAAGGAAATGTAATAAAACTGCCGAAAGATGTTAGTGCAAAAAGTAGAGATGTTGATATCTGACTCGGTCATAAAAATATGAACAAATAATGGATGCGACATCCCTTTTTTGATAATTATTTTTGTGCTCGATTTGGAAAATTTCATCTGTTTTATTTTATGTTAATGGTTCTTGACTACTTCACTAATGTGTATTTTAAGGTAAAATTCACCAGAATAACTGGTAAGATGGCATACTGTATAAGTAAAAGCAGTTGTATGAATAATTTTTGTCAGGGTGTTTAGCATTTAATAGCCATAAGCCCCCAAATTAACTGGGTGAATATCCTTTCCGACTTGCAATTTGTAAGATCGAAGAGAGAAGCTGTTAGACCGTGTTGTTTTGCACTACGTCTTTTAACAAATCGGGCTCAAAACATTTGGGTCAGTTATTAAAGCGAAGTTTAACTTAGACCACGGTTTAGCAAACCTTTGGACCTCCAGATATATTCTTTAGTGGATTATTTTAGAAGATAAATGCTTTTCTAGCGTGTGTCATCATGAAACTAGTTACGATAAATGATGTTGAGATGAAAGCATTGAGCAAGGTAAAAATGACTTAGAGCGCCAAAGTTGATTTGACCCAAGGTTGATTTGGGTATTACAGTGGTTTCATTGCTTCAAAATATGCGTGGCTCAACATTGGGGAGGGAAAGGGCACATTACAGTGACAACAAAAGTGTGAGGAGTAAATCTCAAGAATTTTCTAGAAAATTCAAGAGAAGCGGTGTCCGTTTCAACGATTTTTGACGAGTATTGTGGAATCCAGAATTCAAGACTGTCCTGAATTTCCTTACATGGCGGGAGTAAAACATCGAGATATAGCAATC